AAACAAAAAACAGCATTTTTAGATTTTGAATAAACTAACCAATTTCTGGATAACTTTTCACCGTTAGTCATTGTACGGGTATATGAACTTTTTGAGAAGCAGCTATTATTTGAATCTAATGGAAAGTCAAAATCCATAATTTGTTTGGGAACGCCATGATCAATTATCTGAGTCCGAAAATCTTGAGAAATTATATCAGGCCAGAGACCTGGATCTTCAAATTGATCGATCCGAACTAATTGAAAACTATTGTCACCGTCGATATTGGTATCAATATCAATATGAATTGACGCAGGAGGTGAAATCGAATTTGGGAAAGCTTCAGAAGGTGAAACGTCTGCGGTCGACGTTGATGGTATTGGGTCTAAAGAAGTAGACATCGAAGAAAGAGTACAAAAAGATGTGCTTGCCATCGATGAACTCGTTGAATAATGAAAGGAAGCATTTGGTGTAGTTTTTAAAAATTTAGCTAATGAGCCCGATAATTTTTTACCTTCTTCTCCTTTTCTCTTTTTCTCTTGACGAAATTGAAAACCAGAAGGTTTTTTACTATTCATGGTTCCGTATAATTCGTAGAGCCACCAGAGGCCCCAACGAGGTCTCGAGTCCCGGGTCTTGGCTCCAGGCTCACCGGCTCGGCAGTGGAAGGGATAACGCACACAAGCGTACATGTGATGCGCAGAGTGCTCTGCGTTATCCCTCCACTGCCGAGCCGGTGAGCCAAGCCAAGACTTCGTTCTGGCATCGTTGCTTACTGCTTACCGCCTTATGTAGTATAGCGTAGGCTATCTCTGAAGCAAATTTTTTTCTTGCTGCCACGCTGCCATTCGATTAAACAAGGTTTTACAAGCGGGCGGCATTGAGCCGGATAAGGGCGGTCATCGCAGCGGTCAATTTTCGGTCAGTTTTTGGACACTTCAAAAATTATTGGCGCCTATTAAAATTTTGCGCCCCTACAAATTTTGCGCCCTACGCTGGAGCGTACCAGCGTACCCCATCCGCACGCCCCCGCATCTATCCCAGCAAACACAGATACATAACTGTAACATTGCCATAATAAAACGGAATGTAACAAGTAATATAACGTATTTGTTACATGTAACATTCACGTTAGTTGTAATTTCCCACTCATACAAAATTGCAGTTATATAACATGAATATAACATGTTACTAAAATGTTATATGATTGTTACAGTCATGTAATAGTCCACCCAAGTAGCAAATTGTTGTCACAATAACAGTAAATTTTGGTCACAAAATGGTCAATTAGACATCCTAAGTTAGGTCTCATGAGACCCGAAAATGTCTCGTCGATATGTCACATCCACGAGACGTCATTTTCTGACGTTTGTTTGACGGCAAAACTAAGACCAATTATAGTAATAATATAACACATATTAATGTGATATATATTATAGGTAAATTTAAATAATTTAATTTATAAAATTAAAGATTTTATTTATATGGAAGTTAATTTCTGTTTTATATTTTAAGCAGATAATAACAAACAATTTTTACTTATTCGGATAGGAATTGTCCGAATAAATTAAAATCGGATATTATCTGTCCGATTTTCCAAAAGTTCAATATCTGAATTTCCTGGTACGGGAATCGTATCAGAAATTGAACTGATAAAAATAATTACAATGTTATTAGCCGCATTTTGCAGGCTTTATATACGCTCATGACAAGAATTTGAATACGGGTATAGATAGTGAATAGCGCGCCGTATAGCGGTAAGCAAATGAACTATAATCCCAATATTAGTTACAAAAGAACTTTATTTGGACGATCATAGGACGTTTTCAAAATTACGTCTTTGGCTAGTCTAAGAAATGAGGTCTTTTAAACGTCAATTATTAGTCTCCGACATTATAGACCAAAAATAAACGTCATTATGTCGTTTTTTGACGTTACTCTGTTACTTGGGCTGTTACATTACATATTACTTTTATGTTACATAGCAGTTATATTCTGGTGTTATATTGCTTAAATAAGAGATAGTTATATAATCCCAATATAAATTAGGTATAACAACTGTTACATTACATGTTACTCCCATGTTACATAGCAGTTATATTCTGGTGTTATATTGCTTAAATAAGAGATAGTTATATAATCCCAATATAAATTAGGTATAACAACCGTTACATTACATGTTATTCCCATGTTATATAGCAGTTATATTCTGTGTTTGCTGGGATGTTATAATTTCGCACTCAACAATGTAAATGTAATATAACATATGTTATCATATTATATTTACATCGTTGAGTGCGAAATTATAACATAAATGTAATGTAACTAATGCTCTGTGTCGATTAGGTATACATTAATTTTTGGTTTATTCTACACTGAGAGCTATCCGGATTTCTTGTTAAACCTAGCTAGAAAATCCAATAATATCAAAAGAAAAGCCGCTTTATTTTTTTTTTATTTTTGACCGCGAATCCCATAATTTCGAGATTTTTTCGCCGGCAAAAATAAAAGAAAAACGAAACGGCTTTTCTTCAAATTTAGACCAAAACAAAAAGTATACATATAAGCCTTTTCCGTTCTGTTGATTTATTTAGTTCTTCAGCGATTATTGAATACAGTTTTCATTAATATTATTACTATACAGTGTATTTAGTTTGAGCAATAGCAACTTGTGATTCAACATTCAACGTTTCAAGCATTGCATTAAAGAAAAAAAGTTTCGTTGTTCTGTGAATTAAAGGTAAGTACTTAAATGAAATATCTTTCAATCGCTTAGTACTGAATTTGTTATATTAGAAGAGCTCTCACGAAAGTATCACTTACAGGAGGTTACGGAGTTATTTCGATATCTTGCACGTAGATCCAAATTTTATAGTGAACGCTATGTCTTTGATCAATCTGCTGGTCTGTTTTGTCAATGTCAAAATAGTGTTTTCTCTTCTAAACGATGCATTCTCATTTATCCAATCGATTTTTAAAGATAACTCACTTTCGAAAAAAAGTAAAATATATCCATTGGAATATATCCCCAATGGGATTTCTCAAATAACCGATTCAAATTTGCTCACTAGTTTCTCGAACTATTTAACTTATTCTCCAAGACTTGTGGGATGACTTTCTGAGTTGAAAGTTATTATTTGTTATATATATTTTTGGTGTTTATTTGTTATACATTTTTGGTGTTTTTGTATTTCAAAATATAAAATGGATTTTATTTATTTATTATATTTAGATGTCAGACAGTCGAAAGCGTTTATCTGGATTTGAATATCGTAAGAGAAGATTGGAAAAAGAAGAATCAGTAAAAAAATTTACATCATTGAAAAAGTTCTTAACACAAAAGGCTCCGACATAAGAATAGGAGAATTCATCGAGAGAAGAACGTTCGTTTGAGGCCACTCAAGAAGCAACTCCTAATGCTGAAAATGTTCTTGATAAAACTAACAATCAGGACTCAATAATTGACCAACCGATTGAAAATACATCAGCAGGTTCATCATCGGCAAATCATCAAGAAATAATTCTAAGGGACATTGATTTTTTGCCAGAGTTTTTTTCGGATCAAATGAGATTCACTTTGTTAGAACTAGGATCAATTCAGATAAAAAATATTTTTTTTCCATTTGACAAACAAAATAAGTCATTTTCAACAATTTATTATTATAAAAAAATGAGCAATAATGAAAAAATTCCAAGGAAGTGGCTGATATATTCAGAATATAAAAATGCGGTTTATTGTTTTAATTGTAAATTGTTTGATTCGAAAGTTCACTCGCCTTTCTCTGACTATAATGGTTTCAACGATTGGAAACATTTATCTCAAGCGCTTGAAAGGCATGAAAGAAGTAAAAAACATATTAAGAATGTATTGTCAGTTATAAATTTGAAAAAATCTTTGAAACTTGAAACAACTATAGACTGTGAAAATGAAAAACATAAATTTAGAAAAAAAACGTTGGATACTTGTTCTAGAAAGAATTATTTATATGATTGAATATTTGGCGGGGCAAAATTTAACTTTTAGACTTTTAGGCTCTAATAAAAAGCTTTGCGAACGAAATAATGACAATTTTTAAAAAATGATAGTAGCAATATCTATTTCCGATAATGTTTTAGCAGAGCACATCAGGCGCATTCAATCTGATAGTAAATGTTTACCTCAATACTTAGGTCATAATATCAAAATGAGTTCATATCTATATTAAGCCAAAAAGTTAAAAATGGAATTATTCATCTATTACATAAATCAAAATATTATTCTGTGATTCTAGATGGTACCCCAGACATTAGTCACCAAAAACAAATCACAGTAGTTGTATGTTTTATGCTTCTGAACGAAGATTTCAAAAAGGTAGAAATTAGAGAGCATTTTTTAAGTTTTTTCCTTGTGACTGATACGACCGGTCAAAGATTGACCAATTTCTTTTGAAATTTTTGGATAATGAAAATATAAATATAAATGATTTCAGGGGTCAAGGCTACGACAATGGGGCTAATATGAAGAGAAAAAATAATGATCTTTAGAAAAAAATTCTTGATATCAATCGTAGAGCGTTTTTTATGCCTTGTGGAGCATATAGTAATTAAATACTTAAAATTAAAATACTTAAATTTAATAGTAAATGACGCTGCTAATTCATTGGAGATTACAAATTTTTTCAATATAGTTCAAGAATTATATCATTTTTTTCGGCCTCTACTCATCATTGGAATGTATTGTTACGTCCAGACTTAATGGAAAGAAGAGTCAGCGGGAGGGCGTACCCTACTTATTTCTAGACAAACGCTAGACAATGCGTGTCTTATGCGTCGTCTACAATGACAGCAAGAGTAGTAGATATAGGCCGGTATTCATAGTCCGTTCTTATATCCAAGATCGTCTTAAGTGTGGTCTTGGGTCGTCTTAAGATCCCATTCAACCAATGAAATGGCCGCATAGTATCTTAAGATCGTACTTAAGACGATCTTGAATATAAGAACGGACTATGAATACCGGCCTAAGACTGTAAGACGTCAGAGTAAGCTGGTTTTTCGGTGTAATAGGGCGTAGAGTAAGGCCGTAAGCGAAATGGTTGAATTCTATTTCCTACGGTCTGCTTCTTTACTCTCAGCCAATGAGAGCTCGACAGTAAGAGCGGGAGCACAGCTGTGTAGTTTGTATGTCGGTTAACACACAATGTCGGACATGGAATCTCTTTGTGCGAAAGATGAGCTCAGCAGTGACCGAGAGCTAATTGCCGTGGTCCGAGTAAATAGATTTTTGTACGACAAGACTGAAAAGTTATATGCCAATGGGGAGGTGAAGGCCGCAGCATGGGCGCAGATCGGCGCGAGCCTCACTCATCCAGTAGAAGGTAAGTTTATTTCGATTATTTTAAAATATTGGTACGGTTTTTTGTAGCGATATGTTGTTACGGTATAGTCGATGAACATGGTGTCACATAATAAATTGGCGAAAGACATGTTTGACAGAATGCAAGTTAGGTTAGGTTAGATTTAGATTATAACTTTGATACACTAGGAAAAGAAAATGTAATAATCTATTTGTCAGGTCTTGTTGCTGAAAAAAGATTTTACGCCCTGAGGCAACGCTTTGGAAAACACCAGCTTGGGAGTTGTACAAAAACCTGACATTCCTGGAGGACATCATCAAACCTAGAAGGTAAGTGTTGCGGCTTGAGAAGTTCTGCATGATAAATGTCGATAATTTATGATTGTAATGTGATTGCAGAACCTCATCCAACTACAAGTCCCAAATCCAAAAGGACATTTCTGCAAATAATCAAGTGCCACAAGTTTGCACAAGTTCCTCATTCACGTCTACGTCTGCTTCTTCTAATGGTCAAGTAACAACAGTGTTTTGCATTCCCCCTCTGTTACGTCTGTTGCAGCAAGCCCAGACACATCTAGTTCTTGGAATTGGGACTTATGTACAAGACTCGCAAGTAAGGAGATTAAAAGACTCATTGTCAGGTCTCCACAGTTTGTTATAACATTCTAGATTAATCTAAAGTATTCCTCTGTTACATTTTCAGGTACTGAAAAGTCAGATACTGAGAATTCTATAAAAGTATCTGAGGATTCCTGTTCGCCACTTCCTCTTGCAACAACACTTCTTGCTACACTATCTCCTACAACACCATCATCTGCAGTTACTTCGGGATCTGAAAGCAATAATGCAGTACCACAGGTGCAGAGAGCTATGCCCAAGATTGGCACCAAGCACAAGGTGCCCCCTTCTGATTCTTTTGCAACTAAAAAACGACAGGAGATAGACGCTGTCAGTAAGTCTTTCATTGAGCAGAGTAAGGGATTGACAGATTTTGCAGCGAAGATCAGTGAAACAAGATAGAGATAGTCTGTGATTTTTGCTCAAAAGTTCAATTTACTTACTGTGATTTTATAACCAATAATTATAATTATTATGATAATCTTATATAAAAACTACAAAAAATATTTTGTTTATATATAGTTTTATTATTATTAATACATAGTTTATTATATATAGTTTTGTTATTACTAATGTAAAATTTTAGGAAATAACATGAAAGTAGCCTTTGGTTTAATTTTTAACTTATTGTAGACTAAAAAATTGAGTCTTTATAATATGTTCATTTTTATATTTGAATAAACACTACTATTCGTACTTTTCAGAAATAGTATTAAGTATTTTTTGGTAGAACTTACATTGCAGACCAAAGCAAAATTGAGTTTAGGTTGTGTTTTTGTGTTAGTTTGAAGGACGACAAATAAAAAATAAATGTTTTGATACAATCGTTTACTTTATTCAATCTTCTTATTGACAAACTTATAAATAAAATTATCAGTATTAAAAATATTCATTATGCTCTTTTCATAGCCAAGTAACACAGCATTCAACTACAGAACTAAATAACAAATTATGATCACATATAAAATGCAAAACAAAACGTAAATTTGACAACTATGCGAGAGGGTTAATTATTTGACCTTGAGAAACTCTCATATACTGCCAAGGCGCCTGAGCTTCCCCAACTGGAGATACAAAATACTGCTTGAGGTAATTGCGCATACCTTCCGACACTGAGCCACCTCGATTAGCTCCAGTCCTACGTAACTCTTTAAAAAATGCACAAGGGCCAATAGTCCTCAACCGACCGTCATGAATAAGCCCATCCTCATCCTCAACATCGAGCCAATTAGGAGGACAATACTGAGAGGCACATTTATCATTACCGTCATTACAGCTCATAATGAAGTTGTGGAGACAAACAAGAGCTTTTACAATCTCTTCTATATTTGCTACAGAAAAACGCAATCGTTTGTACAAAATATGTCAGCGTGAGACTAATATTCCAAATGTGTTTTCTATGCAGAGACGAGCCCTACTGAGTCGGTAGTTGAAAACACGCTGCTCGTCTGTTAATCCATTGCGTCTTGCATAGGGGCGCATGAGATACGTGTTAAGGGGGAAGGCCTCATCGGCCACAATCACATGTGGAAATGGAACATCTCTCCCTGGCAGAGGTATTGGTGATGGAAGATCAGCGTCACCAGAGGCAAGGTCTGCAGCTAATTCAGAATTTCTCCACACACCACCATCACTGATCGAACCTGTAAATACATCAAATACACTTCATTGCAACGTTACTATTAATTTGTTTCCTATCAGTTATTAAGAAGAGATTACCAAACTGTCCAATGTCCCATGTGAATTTATGATTTGCATCACAGAGTGCCAACAACACTATACTGAAGAATTGCTTGTAGTTGTAGTACTGTGATCCAGAGCATGGCGGCTTTTCGATTTCCATATGTCTGCCATCAAGAGCACCGATACAGTTTGGAAATTGCCATTGCAACATATATTCTTTAAAAAGATATAAAAGTAAGGCTCTTACACGATTAAAATCAA